ATATAATGAGATATAACTGAAAAAAATCCTTTGCACAATTGTGAAAAATGTATTTTATTTCTATCGTTAGGGTGTGAATATGAGTGTGAGATGTGGATGGTGTGCGGATGTGGGGTGTGAATGTGAAAGGTAAGTAAAAAAACCCACATCCACACTCAAGATATTTTTTCTAGTTGAGAAGACAGGATCCTACTAGGATTGACTCAAGATTCTATTGAGAATCCTGTCAAGATTATGAAAGAGGATTGTGCTAAGATTTTATCAAGTTCTCGTCAACATCTATATAAAATCTTTGTACCAGAATTCTATCAGGAGTGATAGCCATATCAGACGAGGATTCCAGCAAGAAAAGAACAAGATCAGTCAGAATACAAAACTCACTAATTCTGAAAAGTTTCAATCAGGATCTTCTTCAAAACTTTTCACAAATATCCATTTCTGGACTTTGCAAGACATTTTCAATCCAAATCAAGATCTTGAGAAGAAAATATAAGGATTTAGTAATGGTCTTTGCCGGTTACTGTTTAGTTAACTCAGCTGTGTTCATTTTTTGTGAAAACCTAGGAGGATCCTTCAGAATCATAAGTTTCAAGGATCTTGCCAAGTTTGATTCAGGACTCTATCGAAGAATTGTTGTGACAACGATCACAGACAGAATTTCATCAATATTCCATTATGTTTGAGTGAAAACATGTTCTGGATACTGATATGAGGATTCTGCCAAGATTTATAGTTATATCAAAGATGGATAATACCAGGAATAAAACAAGATTCTTCAGAATCCTCAACTAATAAGTCCTGCTAAACTTCGATCAGGATCTTGAGTGCAAGTGTTCAAGAACAGGCATTTCAAATGCTTTAAAAGAAGACAAGTATGATCAGGATCTTAATAAGAAAATACAAGAAATTCAGTTAAGATCTTTCCATTTCGGGTGTGGGTGATGTGGCTGTGACTGTGAGTATGGGTGTGGATGTTAATCTCTCTTTAACCACACCTTACATCCATACGCACACCCTCAAGTGATAAAAACGTTCAAATCGACGATCAACTATGCCTCTAATAATGTCAGTAATCGTTCGGATGCAGTTGTCTACAATAAAATCGAAACAAGTTCAGCAGCAAGACTGTTGAAGAGCAAGGTAAAAGCCTTCATTACTATTCTAATACCTCTCGATTTATGATATCACCAGTCATAGTAGAGAGAGCTACAACCAATGGTTTCGAATTTGGTAACACTGGAAAGTTGGAACGACTTTTCTTATTAGGGTTAATATAATATGTATATTAACCTCTTATTCGATCAATTAGACTGTGCACATCATTTAGCATGTAAAAATAAATATATTTGACCAAGATAAAATAGTTTTGTTATTTTCATGTCATGGCTAAAGTTCGAAAATAATAAAATAATAATTATGGGTGAATCCGTGGGGTTTCTACCACTTTCAGGGAAAAAAATTTTTTTTTCGATTTTAATAGGCTAGTTAGATGGGGCGTCATCGAAAACGGTCTGAGGTAATAATTAAAACCTTTTTACTCATGAAAGTATGGGGATCCAGATGGTTTTTTAGGAACATCTCAAGGTCTATATATCGGGTGTCCAGTAAGTAACTATACAAAGAAAAAGTTGAGTATCTCCATTACGGCTAGACCATACGGGCTCATTTTTTTACCAAGGATAGAGGCATGTTCACATTCCAAATCTACACGGACAAGATTGGTGAGAACCTTTGTTAGATATCAATATTGACTTCAACAAGAAAAGGAGTTTCGAGTCTTTCGAAGTTACAGTTTTTCCGTGTATACCAGCTTGATTTTTTTACTGGAGATGCAATTAAACGTGCTCTTTCTGATGAAATCATTTTCAACTTGAAATTCGATGTCTAGTGAAACACTTTTGCTCTCACATAGCCAATTTGTCTCTTTTTTGACTAGTATTTGACGGTTTTTGAGCAGAAAGTGTTTCATTTAATTTTTAAAAAGTGTCATATTTGAGGTCAGCACAAAAAACTGAGTCGATTCATATACATTTCAAACTGTTTCTATGACTTTCATTTTTTCCTCAATTTTTCCCGCTGATCCCCTCAGGGATGGATGAAAAATGAACTTCATGAAAATAACTATTTAATTATCTAGAAACCTCTGATTCTCTCTAAAAATTGCATTTTACAAGTCCTGAATGGCTTTTCTACTATCGGAAACGTTTTCTCATGAAGTGCATTTTTTCGTTCATCCCTGAGGCGGACCAAGGGGGACAATTGACGGAAAAATAAAAGTCCTAGAAACAGTTTGAAATGTATATAAGTCAGCTCAGTTTTCTGTGCTGATTTCAAATATGAGATTTTTTAAAAGTCAAACGAAGTACTTTCTACTCGAAAACCGCCGAATATTGGTCAAAAAAGAGGTAAATTGACTATCAAGTATTGTAGTTAGAGCAAAAGTGCTTCATTAGACTTCAAAGTTCAAGTTGAAAATGGTCTCATCAGAAAGAACACATTGAATTGCATATCCAATGTGAAAATAAAGCTAGTGCACCCGGAAAAACTATAATTTCGAAAGACTCGAAAAACCATTATTTATGCCACTATGACCCAATTGGGGCGGTATTTGGAATTTATCGATAGAAAAAAATTCAAATGTCTAAGGCATTCTTATTGACTCCGATAGAAAATGAAATTCTCTATCAAATGGGCCTATTTGCGACTAGCTTAGTTCGGATTTTGATGGACTTTCAGGTCAAAAACTGGTTTTTACGGCTTCCAGAAAGTACTTTAGATTTTTCTTATTATCCGAGTACTTTTGAAAAATAATATGGCATTTGTAATCAGCACACATAGCAGTATCGAACTAGAAAGACTTCTGATAGAACGGCGAAAAAAATTTTTTGTCGAAACCTGAGGGGAACCCCAGGAGTCAAAAAATTGGGTTATGATAAAATACAGAATAAACTTATGAAAAATAATCAGGGTTCAATGCTGATTATCGGGCTAATAAAATTAGACTTATCCTATTTGGGACAATCAGTCCATAATTTGGCACACCTCCTTTTCTTGTTGAGGTCAATATTGATATATAACAAAGGTTCTCACTAATCTTGTCCGTGTAGATTTGGAATATGAACATGCCTCTATCCTTGGTAAAAAAATGAGCCCGTATGGTCTAGCCGTAATGGAGATATTCAACTTTTTCTTTGTATAGTTACTTACTGGACACCCGATATATAGACCTTGAGATGTTCCTAAAAAACCACCTGGATCCCCATACTTTTCATGAGTAAAAAGGTTTTAATTATTACCTCAGACCGTTTTCGATGACGCCCCGTCTAACTAGCCTATTAAAATCGAAAAAAAAAACTTTTTCCCGAAAGTGGTAGAAACCCGGCGGATTCACCCAGTAGAGATCGAAGTGAAGCGAAAAAAAATTAGATGACGACACCTGGACAAAATTTATCTTCATTTACGTTACTAATCTCATCCTTTTTATAAAAAGATGAATATATAACATCGTCTAGAGAAATTTTACTAGTCTTTTTTGTTCATTAATGCACATATCTAATTCAACTGTGTGATTTAAAAAAGTGTGAATATTGATGTAATTGAACAGAAGACATATTCACATCCAATACAAATTGACATGCTATCAATGATTGTTAATTTCTAAATTTTCAGATGTATCTTAACTGGATTGATTACGGCGTTATTGCTTTACTTTTATGTAAGTCGATAAATAAGTTTATTTAAAAAATGATTTCTTCTTTTCGATTCTTCAGGTGTATCAGTTGCCATTGGTATCTATCATGGTTGCATTCATTCAAAACAACGGACAACAAAAGAATTTTTGATTGCGAATGGTTGAATGGGGGTAGAATTTGATAATTATGTTTTTTTTGTTTTATTACAAACTGTCCTATAATAATCTTATAGATTTTGCCCACGGCATTGAGCGTCTACGCGAATGTAGTTTCTGCGGCTACTTTGCTTAGCGTGCCGGTTGAAATCTATGCTTTCGGAACAAAATACTTACTTTACTGTGAGTATTGATTTCAAAATACAAGTCACGATTAGTCAAATAATTGTCAATGAAAATTGTAAAAAAATTCATTACCTGTTTCCCTATTATTTTTTGTTGCTAATGTTTGAAACACGGCAGGTTCTCGTCATGGACAGGAACGAAAAGTGTTATAATGCATGTGATATTAAATTTTTATTTATACTATAAGTACTCATGTTTGTCGAAAACACCTCTATGAATTTGGTATTTGATCGTTTTCCATGAATTTCCAATAGTAATAGTTTATTTGTGAACATGTTTTTACAATTAATATCAATAATATCTATCGAATAAATACATTTTCAACATCTTTTTCTAATATATTATATTTTGTCGGGTATCATACTGTTTCTACATAGATATCAATGGGTAATTCATGAGTGGTACAATCGAATTCTTATATTAATTTCTTGTCGTGATTTTTTGTCTAGTATATTTATGACAATTATTTAAATTTTTTTAAAATAGGTTTTGGATGGTTTGTTGGAACGTATTTTACTGCAACTTTATTCATACCAAAGTTTCGTCAGATTGAATGCGCTAGTATTTATTCTGTGAGAAAAAAAAAAGATTTTTAATTTGTCTTACTGAATATTAAACATATTTGTATAGTATCTTGAACGACGTTTTTCTTTGACTGCTCGTATAGCTGTCACTATAAATTTTATTCTAATAACAGTAAGTAAAAAATTCAAAAATAGAAAACAAATTTAAACAAAGTCTTTGCAAAGATTCTTTTCATAGCTGTTAACTTATATGGACCTAGTTTAGCTTTAAGTCAGGTAACTGGACTTAATCTATGGTTAACCATTGGCGTTTGTGGGTTAATTTGTACACTTTATACAAGTATTGTATGTTTGTAAACATCTAATCTTCAATTAATAAGACAAGAATGTTCTAGGGTGGAATGAAAGCAGTTATTTGGACAGATGTTCTGCAGAGTATCATTATGTTTTTAGGTGTGATTTTATCAATTGTTTTTGGTATAGATTATATATAATTTTTTATTTAATACGTCTATCATTTCGTTATTTTAAAGGTTTTATGGATAGTGGTGGTGTAAGAAAAGTTTTTGAAATAGCTTCAACCGGCGATCGATTAAATTTACCCAGGTAATTTGACAAGATATAAAATGTTGAGACTTTTCTTCGATTAATTTTAGTCTTTCGTTAAATCCATCGATTCGTTATACTGTTTTCGGTCTTACGGTTGGTAGTAGTTTATATGCTATAGCTGCGATGGCAGTTCTTCAGATTTCTGCACAAAGATATCTATGTGTCAAAAGCACACGAGCAGCTCAGGGGTATCTTGTGCAATCAATTTTATGAATTCATATTCTTCACAGAATTCTTTTAGAGTTGCTTGGTTAGGTTATGCCTTCGTGATCATGACTTTATTGTTGAGTTCGCTTGTTGCATTGATTCTCTATGCAAAATACAGTCAATGTGATCCATTTCGAGCTAAAATCATTAAAAAACCTGATCAAGTAAAGCATTTGATTGATTTTGTGCAATATAGCAAGTATTTGCCTTTTGTAGCTTTATCCACTTTTTGTTGTTCAAACATTTGGAAAATATCCAGGCTTTACTGGACTTTTTATTGGAAGTATTTTGAGTGCTTCTTTAAGTACAGTATCAAGTGGTATTAATAGTATAACAACAGTCATTCTCGAAGATATCTACAAACGAATTTCAATTTTTCCATCAATATCTAATGAACGAGAAGCACTGATTTCGAAAATTTTGTGTACGTATATTCGTAATAAATTTGCTAATACAATTCTCTCTATTTTCAGCAAATGTTTTTGGCATTTTAACAACACTCATAGCATTTCTTATGTCCTATTTTGAAAATAATATTAGTGTGGTAATGAATATAGAGTTTTCCTGTGTTACTGATTTTAAGATTTTTGACATTTAGATTGTGTATCAAGTTGCCGGATCATTGACACCACCTATTCTGAGCGTATTTCTACTTGGATTCTTTGCACCAAGAGTAAACAGTCGAGTGAGTTGATGCTCTCTATGATCCAGCTATGATATGTATATATATATATAGAGTGTGCTTGTTGCCTTCATTATTTGCTTAATATTTCAATCATGGGTGCTGATTGGAGCCAATCTGACAGTGAAACAATATGCAGGACGAGATGGACGATTACCAGTTTCAGTTGATGGATGCTTACCAGCATTAAATAGGACTCTACAGCCAATAGTTACCCAAAAGTATGATGAATAAATTAAAAATCATGTTGTTTTAGCATTATTTATTTAGATCTAATCCTTTGCTACCTCTTTACTCTGTATCCTTCTTATGGTATAATATCAATGGTGTCTTTCTTACGATCATTTTAGGCCTTCTTGGTATTCTTGTTTTTGGTAAAGTACTTTAGTAGATAGAGAATTCGTCATTATCAATTACAAATTTATGTAATAGGTTCGAATGATCCGAAATCAATTGACAAATCATTGCTGTGTACATGGAAGGATGCATTCGGTTGCGGTTCGTCCATACAAGTGAATTGATCATGATTATTTTTTATAGAACTAATTCTTTTTTTCTTTCATTAGACAAAAGATCAATTGATGAAGGTGAAAAATACAGATATTGAACTAGAAAATCTACCAGTTGAAAGACAAGAATTATTGTAAAATTCATTCTATACAAAATGAAAGCATAATATTTAATCTAGACGATAAATTTTGAAATTCAAATACATGATCATATGAATATTCTCTATATTTTGATATTTACATCACAGCTATTCGATATTGCTATCAATAAATAAAAATGGATTTAATCATGACTTGTAATCGTGTCAGTTGGATGAAAATGTGAGTAAAAAAAAAGAAGACTCACATTCAAATCCTGATGTGATCGATTTAAACGAGAAACATAAGCGAACAGAAAATATTCAAATAACAAAGATAAAATGAAACACAAGAAGTTGTTGGTGATAATTAATTTTTACATTTTAACAATTGACTAAGTAAGGCTTGGTGAAAAATTGAAGGAATACAATTGTTTTTTGTGAATGATTGATAAAGCTGCATAGAAATTCATTTAACATTTTATACTGAAAGAAGAATTGTGATATAAAATATAAATAAATTGCTCATAGTTTTCATTAATTGATAAAGCAAAATAAA